TCTGCTGACTTTGGGACTTACAATGGACTTGAGTTAATGGCCTGCCATGTGGTTTGATAACATCGGGACAGGCCATTTTATTTGTTGACCTTAGGCTTGTTAGCCTCAGCAAGCCAGTAGCTGCCTGAATGAAGAAAAGCCTCTAGCTAGGAACAAGAGGCAGAGCTGAAGCCCAAGGTTGAGGGGCTTTCACCCAGCTCCTAGAGCCTGGCACTCTGAACTTGGACTTCTAGCCTCCAAACTATAAGAGAATGAACTCCTGTTTGTTCAAGCCATCCCATTTGTGGTATATTCTTGTCAGAGCAGCACTAGGTAACCAAAACACTTGGTGAAAGTCAGGATGACTTGAAGCACTTACTGATGAAGATTGATGACTACAGTCTGCAGTATGGATTAAACCTCTATATAAAGAAAACAAAAATCCCCACAACTGAACCAATAAGCAGGATCATGATAAATGAAGAAAAGATTGTAGTTGTCAAAGACTTCATATTACTTGGTTCTACGATCAACACCAATGGAAGCAGCAGTCAAGATGTCAGACAATGTATAGCATTGAGGAAATCGGCTGCAAAGGATCTCTTTCAAGTGCTGAAGAGCAAAGATATCTCCTTGAAGACTAAGGTGTGCCTCAGATGCTAATACCAACCAATGTGTCTACAATACTGCATGTCCATTAACACCAAACACCACACTACAGATACACACATAAAACACCTGAGAGGATCAGTTGGGAGTCAGTGAACAGGAGTATACTCTAGACCAAGGATAGACTCAGCTGAGGCTAATCTTGCACAGACATCAGTGATCCAAAAATACCTGCAATCCTTACAGAAACAATAGAAGACACAGAGTAATCTCTCCAAGAGACCCAGACACTATGGAAGAGATATCCAATAGATCTACTGTCGCAGGACCATAGTACTGTGGGCCACCAGACTCAATTGGCACAACAACAAAATACGTTAAGAGCCTTGTTCTGCATCCTACATTGGTGAGTAGTGACTAGGGTCTTAAAAGCTTTCAAGCGACCATCTAAGATGGGCCTAATGTTCTGCTAGCGTGAGAAGCAAAAAAGAATGCAAAAAAAACCCGAGGGCATTTGGAAGCAATCAGCCCTAGGACACGATGGCCCTCGAGGCCAGAAGAACTAGATGGTGCTCGGCTATCAGTGCCAACCATTCAGGAAAGGATCAAATCTGGAGATCCTGGATAGAGTAGAAGGAAAAACGTGGAACAAAATCCAAAAACTCAATAATGACCAGAATTACTGGTCAGATGGAGTCTGATGAGACCCCTAATACTATGGCCCTGGAATACATTCTACACCTAGAATAAAGCTCACTGCCATAGGCTGGTTCTCAGCACAATAGTTAACAAGATGTACATGCAGACCTCTCAACCCAGGATGATGCACCCACATACTCTATGGTAATACATCCTTTAGAGCAATAGACTACAGGGCATCAGAGGACCAACATTCAAATTGAGGAAATGTAGGACAAACAGAATTGCATAAATATGAGGGGCACAGAGAGAGGGTTACTAGGTAGGGAGGGGAGGAGACTGGGTTAGTGTTGGACATGGTAAATGGGGAATGAAACTAAATGTACACGTTATGTTGAATGTAAAACAAGCTCTTAAAAAAAAAGATAAAAAGACTAAGGTTTGCCTGACCCAAGCCATGGTATTTTCAATCACCTCATATTAAGGAAGACTGAAGAAGAGTTGATGCTTTTCAGTTGTAGAGTTGCTGAAGAATGCTCAAAGTACCATGGGCTACTAAAAAAACTATCAAATCTGTCCTGGAAGAAGTGTGCCTTAGAAACGAGAATGGCCAGACTTTGTCTCACCTATTTTGGTCATGTTGTGGGAAGGGACCGTTCCCTGGAGAAGGATATCATGTTTGGTAAAGTGGAGGGTCAACTAAAAAGGGGAAGGCCCTCAAAGAGATGGACTGACACAGTGGCTGCAACAATGGGTTCAGGTATAGCAAGGACTGTGGGGCTGCCACAGGACCGGGCAGTGTTTTGTTTTGCTGTACATGGGGTCGCTATGAGTTGGAGATGACTTGACGGCACCTAACAACAACAATTAGATAGTTCATGCTTGCTTTTACTTAACATTACTTTTACTTAACATTATGGGAATTTTGTCATTTCCTTAAATAACCAAATAACATAATTTTTAATAGTTGCACAATATTCCTTTCTATGGTTGTATTATACATAATATTTTTACCTACCCTGAATTACTGGCACTTAGACTGTTGCTATCTTTCTGCCTTATAAACAAGGCTTTAATGACTACCCTCGCTGTGTGACTTACTGAATGGGAATTCAGTATATGATCTTAAGCAAATGATGTAATGTCTTTGTGAGATAATAATGATACTGCTTTACTATGTTGTCCTGAGAATGAAAAGTTTAAATATATAAAGAAAAATTTAGGAACAGTACATGACATAGTAAGCACTATAAATTAGATTTTCAACAAATATTGTTCTTGTACTAAAATCTTTATAAAAATCACTAATTATTTCCTTCTGGTAAGTTCTTAGATATCGAATTATTGGATCACATGGTTTGAGTATCAATAAAGATTCTTGATACATGTGGCAAATAGAGTCACAGTATTTTGAAGACTATCTCCAAAGGTATATTAGAATGAAGATTTATGGCAACAAAGTACTTAGAGGCAGGCATTTGTTTAAAAACAAGATTATATTAGACAACATTTAGCAAGCAATGAAAGCTTAGGTTATTTTTCTCTCCGGAAAACTTTATAACATCATTGATTAAATCTAACCCCATAATTAATAATACTCTACTTTAGCAAAGAAAACGTCTCAAAACTACCTCCTTTCCAACTTAAAAACAGTGAATTATTTTTAGCATAACTCACTGCCGTTGAGTTGGATTTGACTCACAGCGACCCCTCCATGGGTTTCTGAGGCAGTATCACTACAGAAGTAGATTGCCCAACCTTTCTTCTGAGGAGTGGCTGGTGGGTTTGAACCACCAGCCTTCCGGTTAGCAGTCAAATGTCTTAGGCACGACGCCACCAAAGCTCCCATATTTAACATAGCATGTAACAAAATATTTCAAATTCATAATCCAGATACAAATGATTTTGGATGGCTAGAATTAT